CCCCTGTTTTGTGCCCATACTTCCTTTCTCTCTGCTTCACTTTTTGTTCTGAGATTATTGGCTCTGATTTGTTTTGAACAAGGCCACTGAAGGAGAGGGATGGTCTGAATTGCACTTCCCTTGTGTGCCACCAGCACACTTCTGCAACAGCAAAGGGAAGGGTTCGAGTGGCTCTTCCCTTGTGTTTGTATCATGGTTCCTTTGAGGATTAACAGATTGTCTTTCACGGAGCTGTCAGGTTTAAAACTGACATAATTTTTAGGCTAACCAAAGTCTGAAAACAGGAAGAGCAAAGCAGAAGTCCAGGGATGTCACTCAATCACCCACAGGAGGTTATTTTCTGGGTTAGAGTTAGTCCGATTCATTGGCCACAGGAATGGCAACTGCAAATACTGCAGTGGATGTTTCTGGTTATTATCCCAGAAGCACAAGTTGTTGCCCATGGGAACAGTGGAGAGCACTGAAGGTTAAAAAGTCTTTGGCAAATGTTCTTTAACACTGGAGTAAAATACTGTGTATTTTGGAATAAGACATGCTATTCTAAGCTATAACAGCTAAACATCAACAGCATTTGCAGAGAAAGTCCCTATAGTTATGGCAAAGTTAATGAGTTAAACCACTGTGCTGAGCTCCCTGTGGAGAGTCAGACTAATTTGGCTTGGTGTCAGCTCCCCTTTGGGCATCCTGGGCCGTGCTGCTCTGCCCTGCAGCTCTTGTAATGTCCCTGTTTCCTTCACAAATACACACTTTTGCCCCATTAAGGGGTTGGGTTGCAGACAAGGAGCCCAAGGATTTCAGAAGCAGTCTTGTATTTCCTATGTAAGGCACAAATAGTAATTCCAGTAAGACCAGTATATGGCACTCATATGTCTGGGTTAGCTCTAGATCTCACAACCTTTACTCCAGCAAATCTTCTACTCTAGAAGTAGGGACAAAACGTTTTAACCAACTTAGAACTAATTTGAATTAATATATCTGTAACTCAAAGCAGTCACCTTTATGTTTTGCTCCTGCAGACACTTGTAATATTTCTTTAAATGAATGATGCCCACTAAAGGGGAATGCTCTGCTCCATGAGTTACAGTTCAGTACAGGCACAGAACTAACTGCAAACCCACACCAGTCCTGTTCTCAGCACAGGAATGTAGGGCTTGAACCTGCTGTCTGTGCACAAAAACGTTCAGTGGAGTCGGAGGGACTTCTTGGCACTTGCAGTCTATAGGAGTGTAGTCCTAATTAATTTAGCAAAACAAAGCCAAGCTGAATGCTTCGCTGAAAGGAGCAGAAACCCCTGATTGGGGGAAACTGTCTGGTCCTTAAATCTGGGTATTGATTATCTAACACTGTTCACACAGCTTGAATACTTAAGCTTCAAAAAAGGTTTTTCTTAATATGAGGGAACCACAGAAGGAAAAGGCAGCGTGATGCTAACAATATATGTGACTTACTGGTTCAAGCACTGAAGATTTAGGGAAAATTTAGAATCCGTCTTTAATCACTTAATGTAAACAAGGAAAATAAATTTTTAATTATTAGGAGACTGATGATCCTAAAAGACATATGGCTTATTTTGCATGAAGCATTCCAGTTTAATTTTGTAGGAGAAATGGCCTACCATGGTCTGCATCAAAACTAAAACTAGTTCTAAAATACAGTAGGAGGTTGTAGAGAAAGAGGTGAGCCATCATGGTTCTTGGAGATTAGTGTGTTGCCAGTGGTAGCTTTGGTTGAAGAAATGGGACAGACTGAGAATTCTGTGGGAAGCTCGGAGCCAGGAAGTTCCACAGAAGCTCAGGAGCAGAGCAGGGCAGGCTGCTTTACAGGAACAGCATTTGCCACCTTTCTCCTGGGGCCAAAGGTGTGGACAGGTTGCACAGAGAGTGAGCTGCTGGAAAAGGGGAAACCTTTGAGCAGGCTGGATGATAAACAACCTTAAAATAGGACAAGAGGCTTTTTTTTTTTTTTAATGTATAGTATCTTGAACTGCTGTAGCATGGTTGATGAAGATGATCTATTGCCTGGAGTACCAGAAATGGGTTGGAATATAACAGCGAGAAGTCATGCACTTAAAGATTAATTAGAATAACTGCGAGTAAGCTCAGAGGTTCATCAAATGTGAGATTATAAGAGGAGGAATCCAGGTACCTTATTGGTTGTAGGATAACTATGATGCCACTGTAATGTGGTCTTAAAAATGCTAATGTATTCTGGGATGCATCGAGTGAAGTATTTTCAGTAGACGGCGAGGTATTAATATCATGGTACAAGGCAGTTGTTAAGACCTTGTTTAGAACAGTGCACACAAGGCAGAAGGTATAGAGGACACTGGAAGAGTGAAAAACCTATTTGGAGAGAAGATTAAAAACAAAGCAGAAAGACCGAGAAAGGATGATCTAATTGCTATTTATAATTGCTAGTACATTTTAGGTAAATATCACAGAGGCAAAATTATTTAATTTGAAGGGCAAAAATGGTAAAGAACAAATGGCTATGAATTGGTAGTGAGTACATTTACAGTGGAAATTAGAAAGTTTCTAGATTCAGAAAAGTGGATGCTAGAAGAGCCTTAAAGATAGAAGCAAGGCACCTTGGCTGTCTGAAGGCAGTGCCCAAAAGGCAGCTCAGTTATCCAGTTCATCCTCCAAACTGGATAATAAAATGGTGTTGGGTATCTTGTGTATTGCCAAGGGGATATAAAGAGGCTTAATCCCGTGTGATTAAATGTGTATTTGCAGTGTGTTAGCCCGGTGTTTCAGGAGGTTTGTTAACATGCTAGAAGGTCCAGAAAGAGTCAGCTTGCTTTCCACGCCTTTTAACCTCGAAATCACCAGAGATGACACAAAGTGAACGTCTCGTGGAGCTGGGCAGGCGAAGGTTCTGTAAACGGCTGCTCTTCTGTGAGTGACGATTAATGGGACTCAGAAGTGAGCGTGCAATGGCAAAACGGACCTTTTAGGTGTCTTACGGATCAGATTGGTGTGGATCACGTTTCTTTCTCTGTATTGTTTATTTCCTCCCGAGCGTTCGGAAAGGGCATGTTTCTTGCGCTTGCCGGACTGAGAACTTCGTGATACTTGACTTTTGCGGTTTTCTTCCTGTTGCACGCTAGTTTGGGGCTGATGCAGAGCAAGTCCTCAGTTTCTCAGAGGCTCTGCTTTGGGAAGGGGGTGGCTGCCGTGCTTTGCGGTAGGCGCGGAGCTGTTCTGGGGGACTCGGGGACACAGGCTGTGTGGCTGGGCTGGGCCGGGGCTGCCGCGAGCTGCACCCGGTTATCTAGCCGGTGTCTGCCGGGACTCAATTAGGCGGTGCGGTAGCAGTTTAATTTGAATAGTTAATTGCGGCGTGCCGGGCCGGGAGCGGCGGCGCTCGGCGGGGCCGGGTGGATCGGCTTGGCGAGACCCCCCTCTAGCGGATGGCCCGGGCCTCGCCCGCCCCTCGGCGGGAGCGGGAACGGGAGCGGGCGGGCCGCCGCACCGGGAAACGGAACCGCGGGGCAGAAGCGCTCCAGCCCCGCGGGCCTTTCCCCGGGCACAGCCGCGGCAGCCCCGAACCCCGGGGCAGCTCCTGCCGGGCGCGGGTCCCGCTGTCCCGGGCGGGCTGTGCTCCCTCCCGAGCGCGACGGAAAACGCCGCCGCTTTTTTACTTTAGGCTAATGGGAAACGGAGGCTTCTCATCCGCGTGGAGAGCAACATCTCCGCTGCGGGAGAGGGTCCGTGGCCGGGTGCATCGTGCCGGGCATCGCAGCGCGTCGCTCGGGAGTAACCGGAGGCCGGCGCGTCTCCGCCGCGCGCAGAACGGTGTGTGCGATCTGCCCGCTGGATGCGTAACGAGCAAGTTCATGGTTCCATTTGTTCTTCCTGCCCGCTGTTCCGGCACTGCCGCTCTGTCTGTTTCTTGGTACTTCTCTGCTCCAGAGAGATGAACCATTACAGCTCGCTCCATCCGCCCGCTCTTTCTCTCGGAGCACTTATTTCGGGTCGCTAGCAACTGGTGTCCACCACAACGCGAGGGCACCTCGGCACTGATCAGCCCCGGTGCCAGCGCGGCTGGGCGAGCCGGCCGAGCGCCCGCGGCCCCGGAGCGCGTCCCGGCGAGCGGACCGGAGCGCGGCTGCAGCGCTCCCGCCGCCGGCTCGGGCCGCCGCGGGCGGGCAGGCGGGCGGATGCGCTCCCGGGGAGCGCAGTGGCTTTTCGCGCTCAGCTCCCGCTGTCCCCCGCCGCTGCTCGCCACGGCCGCCCGGTGGGCTCGCTGCCGGCCGCCGCCTCGGTGCAGACCCCTCTGCGCGGATCGGGGCGGGGGGCGCTGCCTTTCAGCCCCTCCGTCCCCGCCGCACGGGCGGGAGCAGCGCGGTGTTGCACAACCCGCTTCCTTTTTCTTTCGCTTCGCTGCGCCGCGGGCTGCGGCGGCGAGTGCGCGGGGCGCCGGTCCCCGCCCTGGGCGGGGGGGACGGCACGGCCGGTGCCGCCCGCCCGCTCCCCGCCAACTGCGGCGCTGGCGCGGACCGCCGGCTGCGCGGCCCCGCGGGAGGGGGGGCACCGCTGGTCCCCGCGCCCCGACGGACGGGGCGGGTGATCTCCAAGGGGAACGGGGCTGAACCCTCGCCAGGGCGCGGGGATGGAGCCGGGACCGCGCATCCCGCGGCAGGCACAGACCGCCCGGCCGCCCGGCTGTACCCCTTCCCGCGGCGACCGGGCCGGGCAGGGCGGGGCCGCCCCGGAGGAGTCGCGGCGTCGGTGCGTCCCGTTACCGGCGGGGCGAGCCCGCGCTGCCCCCGGCGCGGCGGGAGCAGGTGTCCGGGGGCAGCAGCCCGGGGCGGCGCGGCAGGGGCGGGACCGGGGCCGGGCCCCGCGGGGCCGGGCGGGCGGCAGCGGCGGCGGGCTCGGCGCGCCCGCGGCAGGAGGGAGCCGGAGCGCCCGAAAAGCCGTGAGGGGAGGGGAGGGCGGAGGGGCGGGAGGGGGAGGCAGGCGGGCGGGCGGCGGGCGCATGCGCTCTGGCGGGCCGTGCCATATTGGAATGAGGCAGTGAGCGGAGCGCCGGGGAGCCCGAGCCCCGGCAGCGGCGCAGGGCTGGAAAAACTCCCCGCAGGTGAGGCGGGCGGCGGCGGCGCCCGCGCTCGGGCGGAGCGGCCCCGGGCGCAGCTGTTGGGGGCGTTTTGCCGGCGGGGCGCGAGGGCGGAGGGTTTTCCGGCCCCGAAGTTTGGATGCGGGAAAAAGGCGGCGAGGCGGCAGAAGGAGGAGGAGGAGGAGGAGGGGGGTGGAAGAGGCAGGCGGAGCGCGGCGGGGAGGCGGCGGCGGCGGCAGCGCGGGGGGACGCGCCGAGGAGCGATGCGCGGAGCTGGCCGGGCGCCGCCGCGCAACTGCCCGCGCGCAACTCTGCGCGCTCCCGCCGGGGGCCCGCGGCGTCCCGCGGCGCGCTCGGCCGAAGTTGCCCTCCCGGCCGGCGCCGCGCCCGCCCGGGGACGCGCTCGGCCCCCGCGGGAACTTTGTGCGCGCCGCGCCGCCGCCCCGGCGCGGCCGGTCCCTGCCCGCGCCCGCGGGGGGCCGAGCCCACCGAGCGCCTCCCGCTCGCCCCCCTCCCCCTCAAAATGGCGGTGGAAGGGGACCTTTAAACCCCGCGCCGCTCCGCTCCGCACCCCCGCCGGGCGCGGCCGTGCTCCGCTCGGCGCGGCGCGCGTCCCGCCCGGGGCAGCGCCCGGCGTCGCTCCCCGTCAAGTGGCCCGTCAGCGAGCGGCTCTCGCCTCCCGTTCTGGGTGGGTGGGTGCGTGTGGGGAGAGAGAGAGGGGCGGGCGCCGCCTCCGCGGCCGCGCCGGCGGCTCTCCCGCAGCGCCGCCGCCCGCGCTGTAGGGCCTGCGCTGCCGCGGGGCCGGGCATTGTGTGCGCGCCGCGCCCGCCGCCGCCGCTCCGCACCTCGGCGGCTCCGCGCCCGCCGAGCCGGGGACAGCCTTTGTCTCTCGGGGAGTCGGGCTGCGCTGCCCGCCGCCCCTGCACCTGAAGTCGTAAATCCGCCCACCGGTGACACCGCCGGGGATGCCCCGGGACGCCAACTTCGGGCTGGGGAGGGAGCGGCGCCGGGGCAGCGGCGGCGGCGGGAGGGCTCCCGCCCGGGCAGCGCCGGGTGGAAGCGGGAGGGCGGAATGCCCGCATCGGAAGGACTCTGCAAGTTTTCCGTCTGTGGCTTTTCGCAAACTTGCTACCGGGGGCCCCCCCATCCGCCCCCCTCCACAATGGAAATAATGAAAGGAGGAGAAAAACAACGCGGGCAGTTCATTGTGAATTTTTAACTACTTCGCTATTGCAGTTCCACAAGGCCCTTATTTATTCAGAAATAGGCCACTGATGCCTGTTTCACAGTCACATGTGTGCTTTAGCGGAACAATTATATCTACTTTGGAGAAACTTGTTGCTATTATAAAATGATTTTACATGGTAACCTTCATGTCTGACAGTTTTACCCACTTTGACGCCAGAATTCTGGTGGGAGAGGTTTTTACAGCAAAAGTAAAGGCCTACCTTGCTGTTTCTTTGCTGTTTCTTCCTTTCTTCATGGGAGCTGGCTGCTGTCAGTAGCCCAGGAGGTTACCATAGCGAACAGTTCCCTAAAGCAGAATATAAGGTGCACCGTGCAAAACTCATGCCGGAGAAAAAGGTAATCCACCTTGTAACTTTAGAAACATCCTTGTTGCAACTTAGTTGTTTACAATGTATGTGAACTGGTAAGAAGCATCTGATTTGCGAGAGGAAAAACTTGTTAATGGCAAATAGTCTCGTTCCCACAGGAGCAGGGGCTGTAAACTTGTAGCGTCTACAACACCCGGCAGGATGGATTCCTGATGTGGCTACAGTGTGTGATTACTGTTTCAAAATAGCCAACTGTTGGGGCAAAGTAAATCAATGTCAAGATGAAAATAGATCAATTAACTGAAAACATAGGTTTCCTGTGTGGGAGGTGCTACTGACATGGATTTTACAATTAAAGAAAAAAAGAGCAAAAATGCATCTATCTATCTAAAAGATCATCTCTAGGGACAAGACTTAGTGGGCTTCCTGCCTTCAATTCAGCCACTTCCTCTTTTGCATTTGGTTTGTGAATTGTTGCTGTGATTGAGGGACAAGAATGAAATCTAGTTCTTCACAGAACCCATGTTAGTGTCAAAACAGGAAGATTCTTCTCGACAAGACAGATAACCAAATAAAACTGATAGAGCCCACTACCTTTTTTTATGACTCACAACTAAGAGGTAGCGTGGAAGTGTTGGGAGAATGGCTTTGCCAGTGTTTGGTGTGTCTGTGCTGGGCAGTTACACTGAGGACTTCAGTATCCTGTTACATGCACATGTTCTCCACAGGAGACAGCAGTGCAAGATAGAGAGCAGAGAAACAGTGGCAGATCTTTGTGATTATTGATCTGTATGGGTTTTCCTTTGCCCTTTTTTCCTCTCTACTATTAATTTGCCGGTATTGAGTTATCTTATCTGATTCTTAAACCTGGCAAGCCTCCTAAGCAATTGCTGTGTGGAAAAGGTGGATTAAGTGTAAGCTGACATGTTAATGACTGATGGAGTTTGCATGGTGTAATCTTTATATTCTGGGAACCCTTTCGCTGTCTCATGGGGAAGATGTTAATGAGTATTGCAAAAAAACCATTTGTCATAATATGTTTTGGTAACACGTTACAGGAGTTTTTTTGTTGTTTCATGGCAGACCAGTGACAGCTGTAGACCTTAATCTTTGTGTCATGCTTGCTTTTTGAATCCACTGTATTTGGAAATCTCTTTAACATCGTTGCTGTGCTTCCACTTACTAAGTTTGGCCGTGGCACGATCATCGTGCAGTGATGCAGACATCAATACAGTCATTTTGCACTGGCTCGGCTTAAGTAATTGTCCTACAACTGATGCACTTGAGACACGTGGCAACTTAATTACACCAGCATGCTGACAGTGAAATGACTCATGGTAAATTCACTGAAGTGTCCTTTAAGTGCACAAGAAATTTAAACCTGGGAGGTGTTTAGCAAGGGACGTTTTGGGGAGAGAGCTTCCAGTGCCTAAAAACACAGGGCTCGCATCACATCCATTGTTCCTATAATAACGTGGCAGCCTTAATGCTGCAGAATAATGTTCTGATTTGGTTTCTTGACCTCTTAAGTGTGCATCTCTGTGTTTGGTAGATTGGTCATTGCCTTAAAACAGTGTAGTCTGCATAAGTTACAAACGTTTTCTGGAGCTGTATCATCTTTCTTTTGTTCATCTGACTCATCTTGCATGATGAGTAGCAGATTTTGTGTGTCATCTTGCTTTTGGTAGCTTTGAGCATCAGTGTGGCTGCTGGTGGTGGACTTGACTTTGCTCTCCTTTCCTTCTGCTCTTGCGAAGAGGCCACCAGGTTTTAGGTCACAGGTTTAAACTTGAGGTGGTTGTTGAAAGCTTTTAGGTTGTTTGGATTTTTTCCCCTCTCAAGATTACTTTCTTGAAAAGTCCAGGGATAAAATAAGGGGAGGATGTTGATTTGTTTGTTTTGATTCAAATGGTTGTTGAAGTTGTCTTGTATGCAAACACTGTGCCAGTGTGCAAGATCCTGAAGAGGGGATTTAGGAGTTTGCATTCTCCAAGTTCAGCAAAAGTTGAAAGTTAGAGTAAATTTTTATCTTGATTTTGTATTAATATCTTATGATTTTTACAGCCGTGATATCTGTATAATGATATTTTTTATGTAATTATATATTTAATGTATAATTCTTTCCACTGCTCGGCTTTCTTTATATTGATAAAGCTTATGGAAGAAGAAATGAGATGTTAATTAGGTCTCATTTGATTTTAAAATAGTTTTGGTTTTAAGGATACAGGATATATATATATATTTAAGTTATGTGGTGCATGTAAGACACAGGTTTTGTGTTCACTCTGTATCCATGTCGATTTTTCCACCCTTTTCCTGTGCTTTGCTGACAACCTTTGTGGATTGGTGGTGATAATAAGAGAATAATAATAATAATAATAATAATGACAATAATTACAGTAATAATAATTATTATCATCATAGTTATAATTATACTTTTGCCCCTACCTTGTGGGTGAGATAGGATTTTTAAAGTGTTCTTAGGAAAGGCTGGTCTGTAGAATTAAAGTATTACAACATGAATTCTACTCTGCATTCTTAATAGGGCATCTCTTAGGGGACTTCCATGCTTGAATATTTTAAATGTCCCCCTGTGAGCAGGAGGGTGTGAGCTTAGGCTGGAAGATATTCTGCATGTCGGTTGGGACTCTCCAGGTAACTCTCCACATCCCTGGGAAATGAGTGAATGTTAACTAATGTAAAGCTGCACGGTAGTTACCAAGTCCTACGTGAGTGCTTTAAAAACCTTTGAAGCTGGAAAGCGATGAGTCTTCGGGGCAGCTTCTGCTTTGTTTGTTTTGGAAGTGTTGGATTATCACCCCCAGACACCACTGAGGAGCATTTCACTGGGAACTGTGCAAACAAGGAAGGCCTGGGAGCTGCAGGAAGAAGGAAACCCAGGTCCCAAGGTCCTTTTCTTCCTCTGCCTCCCCCTCCTCTTTTCCCTTCGTTACCTCTTCTGGATTCTCTGCCGTGTCTTTGTTCATCTTCCAGTGGAGACAGTGATGTTCAGATTTATTTTCCCGATGGAAATAAGCATCCTATTCCAACACTTGTAAGATCTGAGTGCCTCTGAGACCCTCACCCCTTGGTCATGTTTTGTTGATGGGGTTTGAGGAAGAGTCACGAGAGGACAGGCAAAAAGATGTGTACATGCAGACATTCCAAATTAATCCAATGAGCCTTGTTTCCTAAGAAAATTAGGTGAGCAATAATGTTAGAACCTGAAGTAAAGAGGGTTTCAGTGAGGTTTGCAGTAGAACAGCCATCTCTCCTGTGGGTGCCTGACTCCAGAACTGCAATTTTGGCTCCTTCAAGCCGTCCTTTTTTTTTTTTTAATAGCACAGAGCAGCCTTGAGTGACACAAGTTGCTGCACAGATTACTTCTTCTAAATAATGAACAAGTAGGAGTTTTCCCTTCACTTAAAATATGTGGGAGCCAGATGTGTTTTGGTTTGGGTTTTTTCA